TTGATATGCAAATTCAAGATGATATTATGAATAATTTCACGCTATCATAGCTCAAACGATTACATTTCTCACTGTACATGTTCATAGCAATGTTTACATTGTATTTGCCAAGAATAAGGATGATTATCATTAATCTCGGGAAAAACGCTCATTTTCCACATTTGCGTATCAAATTTGCATGCACTGGAGTTTCACCACCCTAGTGATATGAAAAAACGCTAGTGAAAAAACATATTCCACGACTACTGCGTAGCGCGAACATCGCCTTTTTCACCGAGTAATACGCCACTTCACATGCAACGGGTGAAACTCCACTGTACTCCTAGGCAACAAGTTTAGTATAACCCTACCGGAAATATTTCCCCACGATAGAATCACAAGCCGTGTGGGAAATAGAGAATTTCCGATACGTGATAGTACCTTTCCATCAAAGCGAGCATGGTTGAGTGCATTACGATGACCATAGAAAGTCTGAACGCAAAGCCCAGTTCGTCCATCCCAGATGGACGCTGTCTTGTCAGCGGAAGCTGTGGCGAGGTTCCCAGTGAACCTATTCCGTATCTTTATCAGCCAACCTCAAGATACTCCTACGGTTGGAATTGAACGCTATTCACAGCATCTACGTGCCCTCGAAGAGTCTGCCGGCATCGCATGTTCTGAAAAGGATTCATCAAATATTGGTAGATTTCCTCTGCCACCACCTTGGTGTCGAATATCTTCACAGTTTGATCGGTACTGCTAGTGGCGAAAAAAGCACCAGAGTGATGGAAGTCCGCACTCCACACTGTCTCCATATGATCCCTTAGTGTTGTCGAACAAATTTCCTACATAGGATTAGCACTACCAATAGCAGTGCTGCAAAAAAGATTCGCCCTCCTCAGTTTAGCTCAATATTTCCCTCACTAGTCATAGGATTTCATATACGAATTGGAAAAATATATACGATAACTGTACAGAAACTAACAAGGAATCCCCGAAATTTCCTCACAATTTTCATATTGTCACCAACACATGTGGTTGACCATGCGTAAATTTCGCCACACCAATAGAAGATACGCCCACTTACTTTAACCATATTCCAAACCTTCACAGTGCGGTCCCCACTGGTGGTGACGAAAACAGTTCCGTCCGGATGGAAGACCAGATCCGACACGAAGGCCTAAACCGAGTCAACCATACATGCCAGGTGCTGGGGGGAGGAATATATGTTTGCTTTGCTCAGCTGAGCTCAGGAGTTACCAACACATGGATTCGATCAGAAATCAACGAAAATTTCCTCAGAATTTTCATAGGGAGATCTACCTTATGCCCCTTGCCATTCATCTGTATTTCCCCATCAGGTAAGGACCACAGCTTCCACGTGCCGTCATCAGAAGTTGTTGCCACTAAATGATCGAGCTACACCGAAAGACCAGGCCAGCCGACTCACGCATGGCAATTCTAGGGTGTATCCTCACTTTACAAATCCCTTCATCGTGAGCTTTGAACGTGCGTGCTAACCGCAGTTTACCAACCTGAAGGTCGGAGGTTCTATCCCCGGCAAAGGCGCTTTTCTCACTTCAATAGGTGTTGGGTCTTCACCCAACTTCTGATTGAACTCAGCAGCAGCCTGACGAGACGCCGCCTGAAAACTGTCCATCCCAGTGTGGAAAAATATGCACACGGTCAACCACATATGTTAAAACATCTGAAAATTTTTTTCTCATAATTTTTCATAATAAAATGAATATAATATTTCACA